CCAGGTCCGGGAGCCGAGTGCACGAACTGGTTGTAAAACTAGTCTTAATCTCACTTCCCACTTAAATCTGAAAGTTACAACCAGTCCATATTAGCACTAGAGCACCAGGTGGACTTAAAGGGATAGTTCGGATTTTTTGACATTAATGTGTATGGCATCCCCGTGAGCAGTGTCGTGCATCAACACTGACTTACCCCTGAAAGTGTCCGGTGAGCCGAGATACCGTTTTTGGTGCTGACGAAAGTAGTAAGGCAAGTTGGCTGGGGACAGTAAAATAAAGCGTTTTTCTTCTCAAAACAATCTGTGTTCAAAAGAGTGATACATTTATATCACAAAACCATCGTCAAATAAAAAGTCAGATCTCATAATCACTTGGCACTATTTTCTCTTCATTCGTATCACTGCGCGCTGCTGCCAGGTAACAGCCGCGCACGGATCCATCACTTTCTTTAGTTGTTCGGCAGTGTTTACATGTGCAGACCGCCGCCACGCGAGAGCTAACGTGAGAGCTAGAGCCATCAGTATATAAGCTTGTATAAGATACATAAGAATATATCTAAAAAATGGTGCGAACTCTTGATTATCCAGGCTGTAACAACAAAAATCTGTCTGAATTTCCACGCACATTTCACCGTTTTCCTGTCAAGGACATTGAGCTGAGGCAACTTTGGCTTCTTGTCTTTGGCTTCAATGTGGAAACCAAACCAGTAAAAAATAAAGCGGTGCCGCTATGTTTACAAGCAGACAGGCTCAAGAATCAGCTGTAACTCTGTGTGCAGTAAATCACTCAGTGTCATATCACCAGTGAAGCTTCTACAAAACTTTATAAGTCGACTGTTATTACTATTGTAAATGTCGCGTACAGTATTGGTAGCAGCTACGTGGACGTGTGGATGATTCCATGTTTCTATTAGTAGTCCATGCTTCAGGCTCTATGTTCACTGTATACGAGTTTCTAAATGACGGGATGGGTGATTGTTGCTCACTCAGTTTCTCACGGCTCCAGTTGTGGCTCCAGCTTCAACTTGTACCACTTCTCTGTCCCTCCTCTCTCTCTCTGCCCGTTCTAACTCCATCTGGTGAATTTTGGCATCAGTATATTCGGGTTCATAAAGATCTCCCCTTGGCTTTGTGGTAAAGGCAATGTTTATTGTCAGTGTTGTAATCAGACATGTTGTCACTAACATTCCGAGCAGTAAACAAAGTGAACCAGGCGTGGCTGTCACCTGGCGGCAGCGCGCAGTGATACGAACGAAGAGAAAATAGTGCCAAGTGATTATGAGGTCTGACTTTTTATTCAACGATGGTTTTGTGGTTTTGATGCAAATGTATCACTCTTTTGAACACAGATTGTTTTGAGAAGAAAAATGCTTTATTTTACTGTCCTCAGCCAACTTGCTGGACTACTTTCGTCAGCACCGAAAACGGCCAGTATCTCGGCTCACCGGACGCTGTCGGGGGTAAGTCAGTGTTGATGCACGACACTGCTCACGGGGATGCCAGAGAGATTCATGTCAAAAAATCCGAACTATCCCTTAACGCCCTCTGCACACTACGCCCAGTGAAAATTTTATGGTCAGAAATGAGCAAGCAGAGGCAGATAGAGCAGCGAGCGAGTTCCAGGGCCCCAGCAGTGGCAGCGACTGCCCGGGGCCTGGCGACAGGTCTTTCCTCGTGCTGTGGGGAGGTTTAGGCTAAAGTTGCTAGCCACCACTAGCGGGTGTGTGAATCGAAATAAGACCCCTACGATACCACCACAGCGAGATGCACTCATTTCAGCTTAATGCTTCTTTTCTTGCTTAGCAGAAGGGTCCAGCTGAAGAGAAGATATTTTACTCCCAAAAAACTGTTCTTCGGACTAGGGATGGACATGATTAATCGATTAATCGATAATTGATCATTAAGAATTTCATCGATTATGTTCATTTTAATCGACAAACCGAATGTAGGTTGCTGTGCGTAGCGTGACCAAACAGGGGTCCGTACATGTAGCTCTTTGCACTCAGAAGGAGCGAGCAAACACAAACAATCGGTCAGTCTGAAACGCAAATGCGTATTTAGCGATGACTTGTACAAGAAATTCCACGCTTTCCATTGTGTTCGGGACAAGTGTGAGTCCATGTGCACAGTGCACAAAGCAGCACATATGTTTCGGTGTCCAGTGAGAGAAAGCTTTACCAGGTGAGAGTCGCGCAATGTCGATGACGAGGACCCACCTCCCACCCCCCGTACAGTGTCCTGGTTTTGACAAACGCAAATCTGGTCACACTAACCTGTATTCCACTGAGTCATGTCCTTCAATCCAACAGAAGTTGAACCGCATCAGCGACACAAGAGCTGTAGTTTTATCTTCGCTTAGTTTCTGCAAATTAGCGATGCGGTTTTAAGTTTTGTTTTTGTGAGAGTTGTGCAAAACTGCGTTAAACACATTATAATCTCAAACGGATTGATGCGGCTCTAGAGTCGTTACGGTTTATATGTCGTAAAGTTGAATTTATGTATGCAGATTAGTAGTGCAGATAGTAATAATAATGATTATAATAATAATCAATAATAATAATAATCATTTTAATATAAACACGTTAATGATTAATCGACAATCGATCGTTAATTCTTCCAACGATCGATTAAGAAAATTTCATCGAATGCCCATCCCTACCTCGGACACACTTTGACTTGAAGTTGAACTCACCATAACTGTATAGCACACAGCTCTGTTGTTATCCATTCATTAACCTGTAGCAGTAGTTGGGGCTATAGACGCGACAGAGCTGCACGCTGAATTTCTACGCCAGAAGTTTGTGACAATGTTTATGAAGACCAATCACTTGATTTCAGGTCGCCCCCACCCTACGCCCCCAAGACGTACTCCAGAACTGTAATGTAAAGTAATGGTCAGAAGTGACATAATGATGTCAAATTTTCTCAAAACTTCAGGCTCTCTCCATAAAGTCGCTCCGACTCAGCAAACTCAAAGGGCAAACACATGACTCAAATTAAGTGATATGAGCACATTTTACATGATAAAAATATGTCTATGCAGATACGTTCAGTTTGAAACAAACTATTAAACATACAGCCTAATACAAAATAACTTGATAATTTTTTTTTTTCTTTTATCTAGGTCAAGTTAGGGAGTGTGGTGCCCCCCATCCAACGCAAAATTACACAAAAACTATGTAAATTGTTTGTGCCTCGTTTGTGCCATTTTGTGTTGCAAAAAGTTTAGTTTGCGCTGCTTTAGTTTTGGACCAGCCACAAGAGGTTGTTAAATGTGTTACTAAACAGTGTTTTACCATTGTGAGGCCAGAGTTTACTTTGAGGAATTTGGTGTCTGTGGGTCAATTTGAGACTGTGAGGTGTTGTGTCTACTTTATAGGATAAAATTAGAGTCTACCACCCTGACAGAGCCACTGGATGAAGGACAGGGCTTAGCCCACAGGCTGAATTGAGAAACAGAGTCTAATGTTGTTAGGGGCCTTAAGCAAAATCATTGCTGTTTCTTAAAGTTTTTTTCATGATGAAACAATGTGAAAGAATTAAATGTTTAGGTTCTCTCCTTCAGATAATTCAACATTTGAACATAATTAATTAATCATTGCATTTATATAGCGCCTTTCAAGATACCCAAAACACTTTACAGTTCATTATTCATTCACTCCACACTCAGTGGTGGTAAGCTACTACTGTAGCCACAGCTGCCCTGGGGCAGACTGACGGAAGCAAGGCTGCCAATCTGCGCCATCAGGTCCTCCGACCACCACCATCACTCACGCACACACCACTTTCATACTAGGCAATGTGGGTGAAGTGTCTTGCCTAAACACACAACAGTTTTTGCGACTGCCACCCCACTGTGGCACCTGGAATTCCCAGGGGTCTCTCTTCCAAGTACTACCCAGCCACGCTTAGCTTCTGAGATCTGACGGGATCGGGCTTTGAAAAACTGGCATGGCCACAACATACAAGTGAATAGGTTTTGTTACCACTAGCCTCAGCTTGTGAGGCTAGTTCAATGAACCATGGATGTCTGCTGCAAAATAAACTAACAAAATAAAATAATGGTTGTGTATTTTGGAGCAGGTCTTGGCAGAGCTTTGGTGCTCTGCTCACAGAGTGAATTTGACCTTTTAGTTCTACCGAATTCTTCACTGAGGTGTGGTTATTTATTACTTCCCTGTGTTAACTACCCACGTGAACTGTAAAATGCACTTTATACAGCAGATTAAACAGCTTTGGTCAATAGATATGATATCTGTGATATGGGGCATTCTTGTTGAATTTTAATTTGGCTCAGATTTCTGTATGGTTCATCACTCACACAGTCACAGCCACCTCCTTTGCAAAGTTTCTAGTCTTCGCTTTACTCTGCTGACACTGTGTTTTGTTTGTCTTTTTTTTTTTGTCATTGTTGTTAAGTTTGGGCACTTTTTGGTTTTTCCCTGCTTTCTTTTTATTGTTTATATTTTTTGTAGCATTTCTGCCTAGTTTTGTTCTTATAAGTTAATTATGTTTTTGTAGTTTTTTTGTACTCATTTCCGGCAGGAGGGCTTAAATGCGCGAGTCCGGCGCCGCCTCGCTCTCTCTCGCTCTCTCCTCCTCCTCGTCCGCCGCCGCCGCAGGTACCGGAGCGCGCACGCCTCGCGCTGGGAGACGCCCTGCTGGCTTTTTTTGGTTTAAACATCTTTGCACTAACAAAAATAAAAGAACTCTAAAATTCTACTTTGGTTTCCATGTCCTTTCCTAAATATGTTGGGACTCAAATGTTTTGGGTCATAACAATTGAAAATCATTATATTATAATTTGTCCTCATCTTGATCTTTGCAACCTAATTTTCTAATTTATCCAACTGTGGGACAAATAAATGTCTGTCTTATCTGATCTGATCAGTGTCTTTCACTGGTAAAAGAGACTTGTTCATACAAATCCAGAGATTAGTGACGGCATCTTCTCCTTTAAACCACGCCTTTTAATTTGTAAATAAAAGGGGAGTCTGTGATCAGAAGAGTGTCACTGCAACTTTTCAGCCAGTAGCAGGTAAGACATTTGCAAATGATATCTGATTTTGTTGCTTTTCTAATCTAATGTTTACCATCCAAATGTCAGGAATCTACTGTAATTCCCACTGTGAGAGAAAAAGGCGTTTTCTGAAGATGTTCAAATATAAAGTGACCATCGACACTCGCAGTAATTTCAATTCCACTACTTGCAACATGGTGTGCATCAAACTAGTGGGAGAGCAGGGAGAGAGTGTCCGCACCAACCTAAAGGGCATGACGCCCTTCGTCAA